GTTCTGCTGGGAGGCACAGCAGGGTCACAAAGCGTCAGCATCGGCTAGATGGTGACTGATCTGGTGGTGGTGTGTTGTTTTAAAACACAGTTGATGGTGAGGCTGGTGCTGCTGCTCTGGTTTTACAGGTGAGGAAGCTAAGGTCTGAGTTGTGCCGTGGGCCAGGGTTCTCTGCATAATGGAAGGTCCCTGGCGGACACAGTGGGTAGCAGGGTCACCATTTAGAAGCCAGCTCCACAGCTTCGTCCCTGAGTAGACCATGCCCCAGGGAAAGCCCAATAAAGACGTTACCACTTACAGCTTTAAAATAAAAGTACTAAGTCCTGTGGTAGATTGTCACACAGTAATGAAAGGTGTGACATGAAAAATACATTTCTCTTGCCTCCGTCTCCATTCCGAGTTCTGGGCCCCCAAAGGGATAAGTCCTAACTCCATCACTTACAGGGCTTATTCCGCTGAATAGCTTGGTGACCCTTCCTGAGGAGGCCACAGCAGGTCAGGTGAGGAAATAGCTGAAGGAACTAGAAGTGCATAATCTGGAGAAGAGAAGACTCAGCAGGGGCGTGAGTGCTGTCAGCAAAAACTGGGAGGACAGTGATGTGGCCCTAGAGGTCACAGTGGAAAAAACGTTAGTGAGTCAGATTTCAGCTCAGCGAGAGGTAGACCCTTCACACAACTCCAGCCACCTCAGTGAGGTGGGGATCCTAACAAAGGCTGTGAGATCGCTTGACAAGAACGTGGTCGTTTGTAACAGAAGCCCCAGAAGGTCTACAAACCTCAGGTCCTAACAGTTGATGCTGACCTCATTTTAGGGATGCATGGTGAACATTTTAAAAGGCATAAACTAAGCACCACTCAATGAATGTCATCAGTCACTAAAATGGTGCATGTAGGGAAAAACGAAATAAAATTCATCCTTAGGAGACCGCAAACTACCACACACCAGAAGGTCAGAGGACAGGGGAACTAGAATTCTGGAACTGGTACCACCAGAACGCAAGGAGCGAGCTCAGGCCAACACATGACGTTGGGGAAAACAACCAATATCATGAGACAATATGTGCAGAATTTTTCTAATAGAGATGTAATTTGCTGTGTAAACTGTCACTTGAAATATAACATTTATTTCAAAAAGAAAATAGGATATACCACAAGACATTCCATTTAATGGTCTGAGTACTGTAGGGTATGCACCTATATACTGGGTTATGATATAAAATGCATTTCTGACTTAAAAGGTGTTCCAATGGTTGACCACCAGGCTGCCTTCTAGAACTCTCTAGAAGCAAGAGCTCTGTATTGTAAGTCAGAGGCCCAGGTTCTCGCATTGTCCCTTATTAGCAACTTGCTTTGAACATCAGTTTCTCCAGTTGTGCGGAATGGTGGTGGAGTGGTCAGAGTCTAAAGACCCTTCCAATTCCAGAATGTTTACTCTACAAACATTCACTTATGCATCAAGTATTGTTTGAGCTGTGCATTTCGGGTGCCAGCCACTGTTCTAGGTGTGGTGATGGAGCAGTAGGTAAAACAGACCCAAAGCAAAGTCCCTGCCCTTTGTGGAGCCGACATTCTACTGGTGATAGGCAGGAAGAGATGCAAGTAAACTGCGGTGAACATCAGACGCTAAACATGCTCAGAAGCAGCTTGCAGCAGAACTCTGTGAGGTATATGAAATATCAGAGAGAGGGTGGGCATTTTTTCGGGCGTGGTCAGGACAGTCTGAAAGAGAAGGTGGCTTTTGAGAAAAGCTCAGAGGAAAATGATTGTGCTGCCTCCATGTCTATGCGGGGAAGAGCATGTTAGAAGGAAGCAACCGCCAAAGCTAAGGCCATGAGCTAGTCCTCCTCCAGAGAGGTTGGAGGAGAATGAGCAAGGGAGAGAGAAGACCAAGTCACAGGGTGAACAGAGGTCAGGCTGGGAATGCCACAGGGGATGAGACCAGAGCTCTGTAGAGCTACCTTCCATCCCTTTTGTAATTTATGGATACCAATGCCTGTCTGCACATTATGAGGATCACAGAGATGGGAATGTGCTCTCAAAACTGAGTGCCATCCATCCCAACCCTTAAGTATTCACTATGAGGATTCCTGATAGGGGGAAGTACCATTTTGTGGATGAAACTATAAACAGCAGGTCCGTGGCAATGTGGCATGCTGGCTGTCTCTCCCAGGCCCTGCCCAAGCCACTCTGAAGAGTGTCATTTAGATACAGCACATCTCTCAGAAGGGGCCTTCCTGTCAATAGTCTAAGGGGTCTTGCTTTTGGTTTAGACATTCCACCACCCCAAGGTCAGCAGTCTTCGTCGGGAGAATTTCATCTGGAATCTGAAAAATGTCCCACTCCTGGAGAAGTATCTAGACGCCTTGGACCGGAATCGAAATCGCGAGATTATCCAACAGGTCATTCGGCTGTTCAAGGATGAAGTGATGACCAAACTAAATCACTTTCGAGAATGTAAGTGCCTCCCAAATGAGAATGTTTCTCTAATTTGAAATTACAAACTTTCAAACCACCAGAAAGGTATTAAAGGTACAAGTGAGCTTGAACAAACCCTACAAATTACCATAACTGCTCCTGACATTTTTAAAGGAATAGTATTTTTAAAATTTTCTTTGGCATAATGGATGACATGCTGGGCTGCTAACCACCAGGTCGCAGGTGGAGACCCTGAGCCACCCCACGGGAGAAAGGAGGCTTTCTATCCATTCCGACGGACTGCAGAGGCAGTTCTACTCAGTTGGATTGGCGTCTTTATGAGCAAGAGAGGACCTGATGGCTGTTGAGGTTTTTGGGGTTTTGTTTTAGTGTATATGTTACATGATTCTACCTCTCTGCTCACTACAGAATTTATGTTTTAATATAATTTTTGCCCTTTATCTTTATTTTCCTTGGACTTATTTTACTATCTTTTAAAGCTTTTTAAAATTATCCTCTTGGCTCTTAGGCACATGGAATTCATGAAACAGCTTTGGCTTAGAAAGAGAGTTGAACGAGGATGTTAGATCACTGTTTTCACATGGCTCACTTTTTCTGCTTTCAGGTATCAATCACGGAGACCTTAACGACCATAACATCTTGATAGAGCCCAGCAAGTCTGCCACTGGCGATGCCGGGTACCAAGTGTCTGGGATTCTGGACTTTGATGACATGAGCTATGGCTACTATGTGTTTGAGGTGGCAATCACCATCATGTATATGATGATTGAAAGCGAGTCTCCCATACAAGTGGGAGGCCACGTCCTTGCGGGGTTTGAAAGTCTAATCCCACTGACCGCCGTAGAGAGGGGAGCTGTGTTCCTGCTTGTGTGCAGTCGTTTCTGTCAGTCCCTTGTCATGGCTGCACACGCCTGCCAGCTACAGCCCGAGAACAAGGACTACCTCATGGTCACGGCAAAGACGGGCTGGAAGCACCTAGAGCTCATGCTCGACATGGGCCAGAAAGCTGTAGAAGAAATCTGGTTTGAAACGGCCAGGTCCTACGGTTCTGAGGTCTCTTTGTGACGAGTTTCCCTTAGCTTCGGTATTTCAAAACCCACTAAGATCAAATCTAGTTGTAGGAAGGATTGCTTCGTCACAGTTAATGAATGGACGGAGTAGACTGATTCCGAACATGACTTGGTGTATGAAAATATGAAGGACTTCTACCAATCTCATGACCACCCTTTAAAGTTCAGAGAGCACTGCACGAGTAAGCACGTTTTTCTGGGGGTCTTGTTTGCCTATGCTTAAAAGATGCAGAACGGTATCATTTTGAATCAGGTCTCTTACGGCCCTGAGATCAATGACTTTTTTAAACTTTGGAAAGCACACACACGCACATTTTAAATAGCATAACAGCTAATGCACAGATGTAGCGAATCACAACTCCTAGGAAGCCTTCTCTGATTGGCCCTTCCTTTAAAATCCCGGTGCACTTTGTCTTTCTTCTGGCACCTTCCTCTCCATAAACGGATGATGGCTGCGGAGTCGCTCCCCCAGCCTGCGAGCTGCTACCCGAGGGCAGAGACCGTGCATAGCTGACCATGGTCTTCCCACCCTTTCCCTCAAGCGCCTTCCCCACAGTCCTTTACAAATACATTCTGAATGAATGCGGCTTAGAAGAGGCTAGGCATGAGAAGGCACATGGCCAGTGCCATTCGTGAAAGAAAAAGCAACATAAGTTGAGATGGTATTAGAAACTGGAACTCTGGACAAAGAAGGTGCTGGAGAGAGATGCTCTAAGACACCATTCTGGAACTGCAGGGAAGGGTCCACGCAAGGCCATGAAATCCTGGAAGCATGGGAATATAAGGTTTTCAGGAAAATCCCTCAGTAGGTTTTCTTAATTTTTATGACATTTTTATATATGTAGTATTTTGTAGCTCACTGTATATTTACCCTATGTCACGTTTGTTTTCCTTCACCGATTTCCCATCCTATCTCCTGAAGTAAGGTTTACTCAATGATTTTTTTCTCCTGGTTCACTAGTCTCTATACACAACTTCAGACGATTCATTCTCTACCCACGCCTCGACTCCAGCCGCTCAAACACCCTCTTGGTAGTTATCACTGTCAATATTTATGAGGAGGCATCAATAGTCTCTCGTTCTTCACCCCATCTATAGTCCCCAAACTAGGTGTCTTTTTAGGAGCTCTAATGGTGTGTAGTGGATTATGTATTGGGCTGTTAACCACAAGGTCAGTAGTTCAAAACAACCAGCCTCTCCTCGGGAGAAAGATGAGGCTTTCTACTCTCATAAAGAGTTAGTTACAGTCTCAGAAATTACCGGGCAGTTTTACTTAGTCCTGTACAGTCCCAGGGAGTGAGGGAGTGATTTTAAATTTAAATTTACTCGTATCTTTCAATCTTTGCAACTTCTCTGTAATTTGGTTTCCTTCTCTCTATAAAACTGGGGTAACAGTAATATCTACCACATCAGATAACATATTTCTGAAGATTCCATAAGATGACAATGCAAAGTGAGTAGCACAGTGCTTGGCACATAATAGGGGCTCAATATTTATACAAATGAATAATGACTGAATCGTATTCCAGGTTACCCAAACTCAAGATATTACAGTAATTTTTATGTGCCCTTCCAAATGTAATTGGTGAGCCTTATTGATTCTTGGGATCATAGAATTTTAGATAAAAAAATCATAGAATCATAGAAATGTAGAGAATAGTTCTTGCCTTACTAAATTTCCAATCAAAACAAAACACAACTTAACCCAGACACACTGCCATCAAGTCAGAGAGCCTCTTCTTTCTCCCCAGGAGTGGCTGGTGGGTTTGAATGCCTAATCCACAGCATCACCAGGGCTCCAAATTTCTAATACTGTATAATCAAAGCCAACCTTTATTGAACACTAAAGACACGTCACATGCATTTTCTCTCATCATCACGACAAACTCATGACGTTTGTTGATGAATCCCTAATTTCGAGATTAACAAAATTAAGACTTAAAAAGGTGAAGGAATTTGCTCAGAGAGAGCCAGGGCTTAACAACACTCTCTGATGGAGGCCATGCTTCTAATCACTACAGGCTTCCATTCTGCTTCCTCCCCCCCAACTCCCTTCCCTACGCACATACTCACACAGCCCTCTGCCTGGGCAGGAGCAACAAACGAGAGCATTCCAATCAAAGCACAAGAACTGCCCAGCTGGAAGGGCTTAGGGTTTCCGTCTAGCCGGACCATTCTTTGACAACTGGAGAATGGCTGAGACTCTTCACTCCGTTTCTGTGGTCCCTTATTCGGTGAAACTCTACAGTTTCTCCTGGGAATGTGGATTTCCCTTCACTGGATTCCTTGTGCACATGTTGTCTACCACTATTGTAAATACACGCTGACTTGCATTGATGTTTGACTCTCTGGGTCTGATCTCATTTAGCAACCAGTCCCATGTCATTAATAAACTCTTTGGCGCCCTGTTAGTCCATGTTCCAGGACTGTCTGTTGAGAAAACTGCAAGAATGAATGCACTTCTACAAATGCCAGGACCCTGGTCCCCTCAGCCAAGAAGAAAGCCCAGTTCTGGTTTGGGAAATCAATATCGTGTATCCAGCAGGGCTCCTTGCTCTTTCAAGTGTCTTTCTGTTCAAGCTTTCATCCTCTTAGTCTCACCAACCTACATCCTATTGGTGGGGGGTGGGGGAGGGAGGAAAATACCACTACTGGCTCCTAGTAACCCTATACAGGCTGTAAGTCTTTTTGTTTTTATTTTTATTTTTTATGATTGATGAGTTTTATTCTGAGCAAAAGTATTTAAATCTATGTTGTTTTATTGGCACGTTGTTCACACATCACACAATTCAATACTTCAACCATATCAAGAAGAGTTATACAATCTTGATCACAATTTTAGAACATTTCCCCATACTCATTGTCATTCATGTAAATTTGTTCAGTTTGGGTAAAAATATACACAATGAAACATTCTCCAACAACTTCTACATATATAGTTCAGTGCCACTGATTACGGCTGTATGTCTTGAGAGCAAGTGACCTCATCTCCCTCCCAAGGAGCGGCTGGTGGGTTTGAACCGTGACCAGCCACCCCATGACCTTGCATTCCTCTATCTTCTGGTGGTATTAAGACCCCACCCTTACACTTTTGGGAAGGTTCGTTTTTATTTTATTTATTTTGAAGGTTCATTTTAAATCTAGTGGGATGGAAAAATTGACTAAGCCCTTTGTTACATTTCCTTCTTATTTATATGCTCCCATCCCCACAAGCATGCCATGTACCTCATTTGCGAGATTAACAAGCTGTCCAATCCCCTTGGTAGACCACAAGCACCTTGTTTGCATAGTCCCACCCAGTCATTTGGTGGAGTTACAAAACCATAGGAGTTACTTTTATTTGAGGCCATATAAAAGTAACCCATTACACAGCATAGCCGTCGAGGTCATTTCCATTTGATCGTAAGTCCACCCAGATTCAGGGCAAGGGGACCGAGAACACAGCTCTCAATAGAAGCCTGTGTGAGGGGAGATTTTGAAGCGATCTTGGAAAATGCAATCTGCCTCATTATCCTGAAAACATTATTTCAATCCTATCCTCTCACGCCTTACAGAAAAACAAAACATTCTAGCTTTGAATACCTTGCCTTATATGTCTCCTCCATTCTGGCCGACTGAACCACTCTAACCCAAGTTTGTCAGACACATTTCTGTTGCCTCAACTGATCTCTTTTGACCCTAAAAATCTCACTTAAGATGCATTTGTGTTGGCTGAATTCTAAACCATGAGCTAAGGTGGCAAGGGCCCGCAGGGACAGTTATGCCAGCGGTGTCTGTTTTTATTTTTATTTTTTGCGGTGTCTGTTTAAGGGTGCTTCACCTCCCTGTGTTGGGAAGCACTGACAACAGGAAAGACCTACACATGGCATTCCCAGGTCACAGTTTTACAGCCCAAGGCCAGAGGCCCAATATCTATCTCTCTCTCTCTATATATATAATTTGTGATTACATGTTGGCTTATTTATTTCCTTAGCAAACACACATTATAGGTGATGTTATGTGTTTCTTATTGTATCATATCATAAGGTATATCATGTCTGGACCACTTCTTCTTGAGCTTATATTTTTTTAAAAAGAAACCAAGAA